CCCGGTTAGCGCTCTGACCTGGCGCCCTGGCCACCCAACCTTTGTAGCTGAGGGCCTGGGGGCGGGCCCTCGTGGAGGGGCGGGGCGGGGCGGGGTCTGAGCGCCGAGCTCCAGGAGACCCGTTTGTGCGAGTCCTCCCCCAGCCTCGCCAGCCTCCTTTTCAGATGAGCGATCTCCCTAAGGTCACAAAGTAACTGTAGTAGTGATCCCTGAACTCAGCTCGTCTAACCCCTATTCAGAGACAGTTTTCAGAAGTAGGTGAAATCATAGTTCTCATTCAGGTATAAATGTGGACAAGTGTTAAAGACTTTGCTCTACTTGCTCATCAGAGAAGGAACCAGACCACTGTTACAACCAGTTCAAAAGAGAATCAGAAAATTGATCAGGAATGTTGAAAAGAGGATGTGAAAAGAGGCAGAATGAGTTCTTCCGCGGCGGGGTTGGGGGCGGGTAAAATCACTGAACCTCTTGGACAAGCTTGCACCTTGTGAAAGAACCGATAAAAGGCTAGAATCAGATTAAGAGGTACAAACTACTTTGTATAAAATAAATAAGCTACAAGGGCACATTGTACAACCCAGGGAATACAGCCAATATTTTGTAATAACATAAAAGGGATATAACCTTTAAAAGTTGTGCATCACCGTGCTGTACACCTGAGACTTACCTAATACTGTACATCGGTTCTACCTCAACTTAAAAAAAGGTAGACCCAGATAACCGCAAGGAAGTGCAGTGTGTAAACAACAGAGTTTCCACTGAAGCACACATTTTTGTCTTCACCCCCAAGTCTGCAGGGCCCCCAAGCACACAACCCAGAGATGTCAATTCCCCCGCATCTTGAGCCCAGAGGGGTTCCCAGTGGGTATGAAGAGAAGGGCCTGGGAGGCTGGACGCGAGGCCGGGCCCCACAGGGCTGCTTGGGCCAGCCTGGGGTTCTCCTCTCCCAGCCCGCAACACCCCTTTGTGCGGCTGGGAGTGCCCTGCGGCCCAAGCCAAGCTTCTTTATTGTTGCTGCAGACTTTGAACTTTATGAGGCCCCAAGCTTCCATAAACCCTGAGAGTGGGGAAGATGTCTAGGCTGTGGAATATGGATCCCAGCCATGCTGCTCGGAGGGCAGGCCACTCAGGGACAGGAGACAGCGATCCACAGGGAGAACGGAGACGGCAAAGCCCCGGGATGTCTGCTGTGAGCAGGGGGAACAGGGTCACAAGCCACTCTGGCTGTGCCCCGATGAGCATGGAAGATGCGGGGTCTGCATGTAACCAGGTGTTCCCTAGGGCTTACCTGCAGCTTAGCAGTAAAAATAAACTGTCAGAACTAAAACATACTTCTTAGAGATTCTTTAAATGGATCCTGGGGAAAGCTGAGTCTCTGGGGAAAAAAATACGCCTGGGCCTCCCTTCTCTGCTCCTCTCCGCTGCATTGGCTTCTGGTCATGTGGGGAGAAGGGGCGGTGTGCAGGGCAGTTTAAGTCGCTGTGCACCCCCCACCCAGGGCAGCGAAGAGTCGGGTCTGTGGCCTCCGCCTAGGCCTCTGCTTTGCTGCCTGCCCTGCAGACCCTTGTGGCTCCTGGTCTCAAGATCTCTGTCCTGGACCAGAACGAGCCTGCATGGCCTCATATTTGCCTTAAGCTCACATTGGTCCCCGCTGGGGCTCCAGAACTCTCCAAAGCCTGGCAAGGCCCCATAAAACCCTCACCTTGTATGGTTTCGAGATAAAGTCCAGAACACCCAATTCAATTTGGATCCCAGATAAACAGCAAGTGGAAACGGACATGCTTACACAGAAAAAGTATTTCTCATTTATCTGAAATTCAAAATGAACTGGCATCCTGAGCTGGCTAAATCTGCCAGCCCCACCTGTGAATCTGCGTTGCAGACTTTCCGCAGAGCCACCTTGAGCTGCTCCGGGGCCCGGCCAACACCTCCTGGCTCTGTCCGCACCAGCACAGGAAGCGGGTTGGCTCGGGGCAGCAGAACCCAGAGACCTCCCCTACCTGACCAACTGTGCCACCAGCTTGGTGCTGTGGGTGGCCTCTTGTGTCCTGCACTGGCCACCGCATCTGCCCCTCAGCCAGGCTCACCCCTACCTGCTTTGCTTCCTCCACCCTCTCCCTTCCGGCCTCCACAATGTCCTGGCACCGGAAGCTAGAACCAGGTGAGTGGACATCATCTGCTCCACAGGCTTGGTAATATGCTGAAGGGTGTGACAGCAACTAATTGTCCCCGATGTCCCTTCCTCCCAGGATGGCTGTCCTCTTGCTCTCTGTATCCCCCCTGCTTGACCAGTGCCTGCTTCACCTCCACCCTGCTCACCTCACTGACCTTCCTACAAACTTGCCCCAGACCCCAGCTTAGTGATTCAGTAACCTTTAGATCAGAACACCTGTGCCTTGATAGCTTATCAAAGGGGCGGTGCGGGGTGTGACCGACTCCTGGTTTCCCTGGTAACTGATGAGCCCACCTGATGTCAGTTTCGCCTGTAACTGGTAACCGCCCCTCCTGCCCGGGAGCCAAGGCCGCCGCCATGTCCTGGACCTTGCTTCAGACGTGTAAGCTGTAAACCGCTGATGTTTCTGTCTCTGACTCCGGGCACTTTCTTGGGTCTGGAGCTGGGTGAGCACAAGGCTTGTAGGCTTGCACGGTGCAGCCCAGTGTGCTCCCTTTTATAGAGTTCTCCTAGGTGCTCAGCAAAGGCTTACCAAATGGAAGAAGGCTGGGGCTGGCCTGTGACTCCAGCGGCCCGCCTCACCTTCACACCCACGTGAGGCTGTGCCCAGGCACCTGGTCAAATATCCTGCAGGAGGAATAATGAACCCCTCCCAGCACACAGCCTGCCTGCCTGTGCACCTGCCCCCATCACCCCACACCCCGCGACAGTCAGAAGGCAGACCTGGGACGCCTGCCCTTGCCGGACCTCTGTGTTGTTCTAATTGCACAGGTGCCTCCTTTATTTTTCTCCTTCTAAAAATTTAAAGCGCTGCAGATGAAATGAATGTTCCCTTTAACCCACCCCTCTTGGCTTCCTTGCCTCCCCTGTCCTCCAGAGACCCCTCAGTATTCCACCAACTGCATGGGTTTGGCCTGTGTCCTTCCAGGTGTCCCAGAAGACTTTGGCACACAGATGTGCGTCTGGAACTGTATGATGTTGTTTGTGCTTTATGTATTGTTTATCAAAGCGCACTATACAAGGTATCTTAACATTGTGTTTTATAAAAATGGTGTCATGTTCTACACATCGTTCGGGGTCTTGCTTTTTTCCCTCAGCAGTATTTCTGAAATCAAGCCGCCTTGA